TGTTAAAGCAAAGCTGGTTTTAGATTTTAAGTATTTATTTCTCTAAATATCAGCCACTACAAAATTAAAATTAATTTCAAATTTGAAATTAAATTTTGTTTAAGCAGTTGTTTATTAAATAAAGTGAAAATTAATTTTAAAATTAAAATTAGGCAACTCTCTAATTGCAACCATACTCTTCCAAAGTAATATAATAATAATGAATAATAGAGGCTATTCTTCCATCCTATAACTAGACTGTCATGTAGATTTAATTCTTGGACTCCCAAGAAATATTTTCAGATAAAGAATTCCTTTGCTTTCTAGCTTGTGATTGACTGTTTCCCTAACCCAGTCTTCCCTAACCAGACTTCAAATCTAGGGAATAAGTTTGGAGGCTGAGAAACTGTAGAGGCAGGGACTGGCCCCTTGAAGAAGGGTAGACAGAGAGGTGACATAAATTAGGGAATGGCAGATGGTAGAAGAGGTTGATAAACAGTGGGCTATTGCATATTCCTCTTCCCCAAAGTTCCATTCATCCTAGCAGAAGCTTCTCTCCAGTCAACTGGTCCACTTTTTTTTTGTTTCTTGGCAGAATTCTGAAAGTCATCTGGTTCAATTTGAAGCCTTTTCTTTGAGCAGTTAAAGAGTCAAGAGACCTAAAGAACAGGTCATTTTGTACTTTTTTTTTTTTAAATAGCCACTCATTTTAATGAAAAAAAAAAGCAGATGAATTATTTGCCATTTTGTAGAACTATAGCCCCCACCCTACAAAGGACACACATATAAGCCAAAAAATAGCCAACACTCCAATTATCTAAGTAACATATTAGCATGCTACAATTTTTCATTTTAAACTGGGTACACTGATATATAAATCAACATTTTGACAGCTGCTCTCTGTGCTTGGAAAGGAAGCCCTATTTTTTGTGTCATAAGGCTTTATTAATTATAAAATGAAATGATCTGGAAATCAGCAACACCTTGAGACCTGAGGCTTAATGGTTGGGCGTACACATTGTTTTAAAAGATTATTTTAATTCTGCTGAATTGAAGTTCTGAATAGGGAATGAGAAAGGAAAAAGAACAATTATTGAGCCCCTAGTATTTATGAATTTTACATGTGTAATTTCAGCTAGTCTTGTGAACTCTATTACAATAATAGCTATCATTAGTCAATATATACTATAAGTGAGGCCCTATGCTAGGGGATTTACATTTCTTCTCTCATTTAATCTTCATAGTGACTTTATAAGGTAAATATTATTCACATATTAAAAATGAGAGAATTGCAGCAGAAGAAGGTTAAGCCATTTGTCCAAGATTTTCTCATTTGGAAAAGTGTAGTGTGGGGAATATAATTTAGGTTTAACCAATTATAAATGTCATGTCTTTTCTAGTTATTAACTTTTTCAGACTTTTTTTTTCAACTTTAAAAACATTTTTACTGTAGTGTTTGCGAATGCACATTGAGAGGGTCTTCTGGGATGCCTAAAATGTTCTGTTTCATGATCTGGGTGGTGGTTACATGGAGGGGTTCAGTTTGTGAAACTTCACTAAGATGTTCACTTACCACTTGTGAGCTTCTCTATATATTATATGCGATAAAATGTTTTTAAAAAAGTAATTCATGCTGAATACAGAAAATGTGAGACATACGCACAAAAGGGGGAAAAAATTCACAGGTCTTTTGTGGTTCCATACAAATTTTAGGATTGTTTGTTCTACTTCTGTGAAAAATGTCATTGGTATTTTGACAGAAATTGCTTTGAATCTGGAGATTGCTTTGGGTAATGTGGACCTTTTAACAATATTAATTCTTCAAATCCATGAGCATAGAGTATTTTTCCACTTATTTGTGTCTTCTTCAATTTATTTCCTTAATATCGTATAGTTTTTGGTATACAAGTCTCTCGCCTTGGTTAAATTTATCTGTAGGTGTTTTATTCCTTTTGATGCAATCGTAAATGGGATTTGTTTTCTTAATTTCTTTCTGATAGTTCATTATTAGTGTACAGAGACAGAACAGATTTTTGTGTATTCATCTTGTATCCTGCAAAATTACTGAATTCACTTATTCTAACAGTTTTTTGATGGAATGTTTAGGGGTTTTTGTTTCTATCATGTCATCTGCAAATAGGGACAGTTTTACTTCTTCCTTTCCAGCTTGGATGCCTTTCAATTCGTTTACTTGCCTAATTGCTCTGGCTAGGACTTCCAATACTATATTGAATAAAAGTGGCAACAATGGTTATTCTTCTCTTGTTCCTGATCTTAGAGGAAAAGCTTTCAGCTTTTACCATAGAGAATGATGTTCATTGTGAGCTTGTCATATATGGCCTTTATTATATTGAAGTAGGTTTCCTTTATGCCTGCTTTGTTATCATAAATCAGTGTTGAATTTTGTCAAATGCTTTTTCTGCATCTATTGATATGATCATGATTTTTATCCTTCATTTTGTTAATGCTATGTATCACAGTGACTGATTTGTTGATATTGAACCAGTCTTGCCCCCTTGGAATAAATCCCACTTAAATAATGGTGTTTGATCCGTTTAGTGTATTGTATTTGCTTTGCTAATATTTTGTGGAGGATTTTTGCATCCATGTTCATCAGGGATATTGGCCTAATATTCTTTTCTTGTGGTGTTCTTAACTAGTGTTGGTTATCAGGATAATGCTGCCCTCATAAAATGACTTTGGAAGAGTTCCCTCCATTTCTATTTTTTGGAAGAGTTTGAGAATTACTTGTATTAATTCTTCTTTGAAAGTTTGGTAGAATTCGCCAGTGAAGCCATTTGGTCCTTGACTTTTGTTTGTTGGGTGGCATTTGATTACTGATTCAATCTCCCTATTAGTTCTTGGTCTGTTCAGATTCTCTTTTTCTTCATGATTCTGTCTTGTATGTTGTATGTTTCTAGAAACTTATCCATTTCTTCTAGGTTGTCCAATTTGACCTATAATTGTTCATAGTAGCATCTTATGATCCTTTGTATTCCTGTGATAATAGTCGTAATATCTCCTTTCATTTCTATTTATTGGAATTCTCTTTTTTTTCTTGGTGAGACTAGCTAAAGGATTTATGAGTTCTTAAACCATTAGTTTTTAATTATATTTAATAATGTTAGGAATTTAAAGGAATTGTCAGACATGTATTCTATTAGAGAAAAAAAAACTTTTAACATTCAAAACTTACTTAAATCCTTCAAATAAAAAAAATATGCCATTGCTGCATTATTGCTCTCATGATACTCTGGTAGATCTGATAAGTAAGAGAAAGCAGCATGTTAATGGAAAGATCAATGAACTAGCTGTCAGGAATTCTGGTTTCTAGTTTTGGCTATGCCACTCACTCAAAGCTTCATTGTGGACAAGTCTCAAATTCTTTGGACTTCAGTTTCTTGAGCTGTAAAGTGAGAGGACTGGGCAGTGTCTCAAAGGACATTTACAGCCAAAATAATTTATGACACTGGTGATTTGGCCAGGCTTGGATCAAATTTTTATTGCAATAAAGAATGAATATTCTTTTCTCCCAATAAGTGGGAGAAAAGAGCTTGCCATCTTTATTTGCAACCAGAGCAGATACAATGTGTTTCCTGTTCTTTCCACAAGTAGTCATGGGAAGGGAGATGGGGAGAACACAGGGACAGGGGCAGGATATCCTTCCCTGGCATGTCACTCACCAGCCTATATAATTTTTTCTTGGGCATCAGGGTCTGATATCCCAGAATTCCATCCCACAAAACAAAAGAATTGCAAATAACTTGTTATGGAGACAGAATAAGTGCTGAATTTCATTTACTTTTTTTTTTCTTCAAGTGAGTGCCTTGCATTATCGTATGAATTTAGTGCCATCATTTCAGGGGCTTCAGAGAAGGATAATACTTACAGAGAAACACTTTTAAAGAACTTTGGTGTGCCTTTGGTAGGCTAATGCTGTTGCCAGTTTGTAGGTGAACGAAGGAAGAAACTGGAAACTGGACAAGTGAAAAGGGAGAAATGCCTGGAGCCTTCAGACAGTTCCAGGGAGCAGAAAGGGACTTTGTTCTTTCCCGTAGTATAGCTTTAAGTCACTGGGAGATTGATTATATACTTACCAACCTCCCTTTGATGACAGGAACTGTGTCATTTATCTTTATATCCCCAGTGACAGATCTCACCGACCATCAAATATTTGTTGAATTGAATTGGGCAAAAACTGCGCGGGAATCCGGTAGGGAAAAAGAGACCGAAATAACATCACCTTGGATATCTGAAACTTTTGAAGAATTTACTTCAAGATTAACTACAAAGGGACAGGGACTTCAACGGAGCACTTTTTTCAGATGAGATGGCAAGCAACCAGCACAGGAGGGGGGGGGTCATCAGAGTTCCTTAAAAGGGAAAACTGATCTGGCAACAGGTTTGAGCCCCCAACAGAAAAAGGGAGGAGCGACAGCGATACGCAGATGGGCAGATCTGAGGACCGTCTAGGGTCAGAGGAAACCTGAAGTCAGACCCACGGGAGAGGGCTGCGCGCAGCTGGCTGCAGAAGCCCCGTGCAGGGGCCGAACCAGCGCAGCTCGCTTCGGGCTTGTTTCTTAACAGAACTATCGGGAAGCCCTAAAAAATGTGCAGCTCGGGCTGATATTTTGACCTGATAACTTCCGTGTGTGTGTGTTGGCCTGGGAACTTCCGCGCGCGCGCGCGTGTGTGTGTGTGTGTGTGTTGGCCTAACTTCCGTGTGTGCGTGTTTGTGTGTGTGCTTGTCTCTGTGTGTGCAACAGGGAGCGCCACCCGCGAACTTCCGCGTGCGGTGGACCCTGAGGTGTAGCCCGGCTGCACCCTGCCCTGCCCTGCCCCACCTGTGAGGAAACCCGCGCTCCCCGCGGGGCGGGGCCGCACCGCCGCGGGCAGGGGCGGGGCCGCAGCGCGTCAGAGCCCTTCGCGGCCCCACAGGCCGCCTCAGCCACGCTCGCCGTCGCCACGCCCCGCGACTACATTTCCCAGCAAGCCCCCGGGCGCCCGCGCGCCGCAGTTGACCCATTTCCCGGCCCGTCCCGGGCTCGGCCGGCCCCCGCGCCCAGGCGGCTGCTCCCTGCTGACTGGGGTGTGGGCGGGGAGCGGCGGAGGGAGGAGGAGGCGCTGCTGGCCGCCGCCGTTGCCTCCGCTGCTGGACGCCTGGGCAGCTCACCGGGTTTCCGCGGCCGCCATGGACGAGCAAGCGGGTCCCGGAGTCTTCTTCAGCAACAACCACCCGGGCGCCGGCGGTGCCAAGGGTCTCGGGCCTCTGGCGGAGGCGGCAGCGGCCGGCGACGGGGCGGCTGCGGCAGGGGCGGCCCGAGCCCAGTACAGCCTGCCGGGGATCCTGCACTTCCTCCAGCACGAGTGGGCCCGCTTCGAGGTGGAGAGAGCCCAGTGGGAGGTGGAGCGGGCGGAGCTGCAGGTAAAGACCCTCCCGGCCTGGCCCTTTTTATCCCGCCTCTTTGCTCTCTTCCGCCCCGCCCCTCGCCGGTCCACTCCCCTTTGCTCCTGCCCATCCCACCCAGAACTGTCCCTTTCCCCCTTCACCTTTGCTTTAGGCTGACCCCACTTCCTTGACCCGGGTTCACACTCGCGCCCTGACGCGTTGTTTACCCTCCCCGCTCCTTTTCTTCTACTCCTTCCTTCTCTTAAATCTTGTCTCATTTCAACTCTTGCCTTCATCCCTCATTTCCAGGTCTTCTCTTTCAGTACACTAATTGGGCTGACAGTAGTTTTGAGAGATGTCTTGCAAATAAATCATCCTCTGTCCTAGGGAGTCCCATCCTAGGTCTAGAGACGTTCCCCCGCAGTCGGTATTGGCAGCTGGCTCCTCGCTGAGAGGAAGGTGATCAAAGAAGACAACAGAAGTTGTGTCTGTGAGGCCTTGACTGTGGGCAAGAGGCCGATGTAGGGCGAAAGTGTTACTAGGAATATCAGCTCCCTTATATATGGAAATGTTTCTTCTCTTCCCTCACCGCCCTGCCACTTTTCTTTTAGGTATTTCAGCTTCGTGGATTTTAAATGAAGGACCTAGATGATCACAGTCAGATGATGGTTCAGAGATGGTTTCCTGTTCTCAGAATCAGAAACTTCCCAAGGATGAATTTTATGTTCAGTGTTTTGTGAAATTGACTTTTTGCTTCCAAAGGAACTAAAAGGGGCTTTAAAGTTGGTTACATTTCCTTGTGTAATCTGCACGGTAAGGTGTATCCAGGGAGGAGCTGTTGTGGGCTCTTCGGAGAAGGAAAGTGAGGCTGATACTTGACAGGCCATTCTGAATTGGTAAATAGGTTTCAGCGGCTGTTCTTAAAACTTCCAAGCCATACACACCAATTTCACAAGGAACTTAAAGAACTATGAGTAGCTCTGCCTTTCTGCTTTACTGGCTAATCCTGTATGCTTATGAAATCTGAGTATAACGTTGTTTTGGTTGGTGAAGTGCTACCCAGTTTATCACTTTTTTTGGTAACATGTATTTTCTTTGGCACTTAAAAAAATGAAAAGGAGAACTCTATTAAAGATAGAATCTGCTAGAACAGGCAAGTGGCAGTGGTAGAAGCAAGCGGACAGGGTTATAGTAGACAGGGTTATAGTATGGGCTGTGCTTGCTGCTAGCTCTGTGACCTTGAGGAAATACTTTAACCTCTCTAAACTTCAGTTTCATCATTTATTTATTCAGCACATTTATTGAGTGCCAGCTGTGTGCCTCTGTGCCCTGGGATTAACAAAACTGGCAAAGCCTGTGCCCTCAGATAGCTTACGTTTTAGTGGGGAGGCAAACAATCCGCAAATGCAACTATATAATAATACTGACCCATGGTGGCAACTGCTATGAGAAAGATAAATCAGGACACAGGAAGAGAGTGTGATAGGGGCAGTTATTTTAGAGAGGGTCGTCAGGGAAGGTCTCTGGGAGGAGTCGAATGAAATGAGGGAGTGACCCATAATTTCTAAGACTCCTTCTGATTATTTCTGCAGTCGTGTGTTTATATTCTTTGGTGACTTTTTCATCCCTACTATTATGTTGCTTTAGTATCTGGTCTTTTGACATTTGTAATTTTCCTCATAATGAATCTGACCATGTCTGTGTAGTAACCAGCAGACTTAAATGCTTCGTTCAAATATTGGTAATTCACCTTTGTTAGCAATGCATTCCATAAATGAACTTGTGGATTTCAGACTTAAAGGAAGTGTTAAAGGCAAGTGTTAACATTAACAATGTTCAGTTGTGGAACCCACACACACACACACCACTTCCTGGGTTATTTATGGCAAATGTTAAACTTAAAGGTAGGTTTCCCATTGGTACTCATCATATTAAGGACACTACATTTTTACAGTATCTTTTGGTTTGTGCTCAAGTTAAATTAAGCATCCACAGAGAAACTTTTTCAAAATGTGTCATATTTTACAAACAGAGCAACTATTACGTATTTTGGGGGAGAGAGTTTGCAGGAATCTATGGTTTTGACCCCGTATTAACATTATTGAAACTATATTTTTAAAATCATTTGTTTACATTGACATCATTAAATTTGAACATATTCCTTCATTTTTCTTTTGCCATTGGAATTTTCCTGGAAAAACAATAGGAAGTAAGAGTTGAATGAGCCATGATGCAATTTGGATCAGTTGGTGTCCTCCTTTTAATTTTAAATCTCTTCTCAAGTCATTAACATTGAAATCAACAAAAATACCTTTAAGATTAAGTCAAATGTGTCCCTTCAGGAACCTGTCAGTCCTGCTTTTTCAAGTTGTCAGGTCAGAATTGTGAAAGGCAATCCAAGCTCTCATCTGTCTACCTGGTCTGCCTTCACCACTTCCTCCTTCAGATCTTGGAAGTAAGGAACTGGCCACATTATACCAAAAACTTATTTGTCATTTTGTTCCCCTTTGCCCCTCTTAGTTAAGAAGACTTTCTTTTTACTTTTGATAGCCCCCCTCCTCCCTAACCATCACCTGCAGATGAGAATAGGTAATTTGTGGTAAGAGAATGGTCAAGATTATTGCTGAGCTTTATATTTGTGAGAAGACTTGGAGATGGGATACATAAAATTCGAGAAAATTTTCTGCATGTGACACAATGGGCTAGATGACCTCAAAGAAACATGCAGTCTAATTGGAGTGGTAGAACAAACAAAATGCAGAAGAATCAGAGTATGTATTATTTGGGGGGGTTAAATTTTCTTACAACAGCACGAGAGGAGCGAGCAGTGAGTGGGGAGAATAGCAGGAAGAAAGAACTTTATGAGAACCTAAAGCTCTGTATTTGAAAATTACTGGCTGATGGGAAAGCAAGCGTGTAAATAAAAAATAAAAATGATTGGCCCTGGATTTTGGTGTGTGTGTGTGTGTAAGTAATAGGGGAGGCTCTGTTATTTACCTGGAAATGCCAGAACTGTAAAAAAGGTGTTAGGATTGAGTAGCTTAGGGCATGTGGTGTGGTGGCTGGTACTAGAATATTTATGAATCTGGATTTTGGCATTAATGATTCATATTTTCATTCGATAAATGTTTGTCAAGTGCCTACTTCATGGTAGGTCCTGTTCTAGGCACTGGAGAAACAACAGTGATTACAACAGATCCTGCCTGCATGAAGCTTACATTGTGGGGGAGACAGACAGTAATAATTAAACGCATTCATAAAATCCTGGATGGTAATAAGTGCCGTGATAAAGTGGGGTGAGTGGGATATGGGGTGCTTGAGAGGGTGGAGTGGGGAAGAAAGGCTTTACTGATAAGGTGCCATTTGAGCACCTGAAAAGGTGACATCTGAGGAAAGAGTGTTCTAGGCAGAGGGCACAGTAGGGGGAAGGAAGCAAGCTTGGAATATTTGAGGACTAGTGAGGCAAGTATGGCTGGGAGGAGGAGGAGAATGGAAGGAATGATGTCAGAGGTACTGAGTCTTGCCTACAGTAAGGACTTGATATTTACCTCAGCAAGATGGGCAATTATTGAATGTTTTGAGCAAAAGAGTGACACCATCTTCAAACAGAATCCTTTGCAAGGATGCAGAATAGACTGGAAGGGTCAAGGATAGAAGAGTCAGAGCCTCGGTCGGAGGCTCTTCTAATAATCCGGGTCAGAGATGAACTAGGATGTGGGAATATATATTTCGATATATATTCAAAATATAATGAAATACATTTTTGAAGGTAGAACCAGCAAGATGTGCTGGAGGGTAGGATGTGAGGTTTGAGAAAAAGGAAAGTCAAGTATGATTGAAAATTATTTTGAGCAGCTTCATGGGACTGTTGAAAAGATTTACTGAGCATTTAAATGGACAGAGTAGGCACTTAAAATGACAGTTTATTTTTTTGTTATTATTACAACTATGATTTACAATTATAGTAAAAGGCAACATGGCATAGACCTCGATTTAAATCTTTGGACTAAGACTTACTATTTTGTTTTATGCCAAAAATACACATTTGCCGTAATTCTGACCTCTCAGAACCTTAGTTTCCTCATGTGTAAAATGAGGATAATAAACTACTTGGTGAGAATTAAATGAGATATTTTAAAGTATTTAGAGGCCTGGTACATAACACAAACTAAGTGCTGAATAAATAAATGGTAGCAAGTACATACTGTTAAATTTGTACTCTCATACAGCTCCTTATTCCCACAGAAAAGCAAAATCTTCATCTTCTAAGACTAGAGCATATAAATGCCATCCTGGAACCATGCAGTGTAATATTCTGTGTCTGATGGTGGCACTAAGGGACATTCAATAGGAATCAGCCTCAAAACATTGATAATATGCTTCAGATGTACTTGCTTTCCTTAATGACCCACTATGTGTCTATTATCTTGAAATTTATATAAATTTTTTCTGGATTTGTTTATCTTAACCATGAATGACTTCTTGGGTAACAGATTGTACACTTTTACTACTGACTTCATAAAACTAATCTTTGGTTTTATTTGGCCCTTTAAACTTGGAGCAGGTGAACCCCATTGTGGGTGAACCCCATGGTATAATTTTGTAAAGAGATTCATTCTTCTTTTCTGTTCATATCCTTGATAATTTTATAATCTTTATATTTTGGAAAGATTATAGAGGTTTTCTTCTTTTGAAGTATATCCTACTATTTGTCACTTTAGTGTTTTTCAACTTTTCTGCACTCTTAGAATAATCTAGGGGAACTTTTAAAATATTAGTTCCTTGGGCTGTGCCCCAGACCAATTAAATCAGAATTATAGGAATCGGGGCCGTTGGCATTAGTATTTTTTGAGCTCCTTGGTAGTCTTAACATGCAGTAAGGATTGAGAACCACTGCTTCAGTTCTTTTTTTTACAAACATAATTTGGTGATTTCAACACTTGTATTAGTATTCCAGAGATGAATGGCTTTTTATAGAATTTGGGATATAATTTCTGTTAATGTTTCTATTCTTTCTGATAATAGCTAGCATTTTA